AGGAGACTAGAATTGCCCAAGCAAATGCATCACATGCTTTTGTTAAGTTTGATAACTATTAAATTAGGAAGCTAAATAAAGCTTATACTCATATTTTTAAAAGAGTATTCAAATATGTAATATATTTAAACTAAATAATATGTATTATATATAATATATAGACCTAAGCATTATCTCTCCAACACTTCATAGGTGTGGTCCTCCTTCCTTTTGCTACTTATGTTTAGGTGGTAGAGCTGTTGATCCCTAAACACTTCTGCTTTCACTACTACCTCCCAATTAGATTGTGTGCACACCTAATCAGTCCCATAGATAAATACGACTGGAAACATGGTTGTGGTATTCAGTTGAACCGTCTGGAGACCTTTTCCCTTCACCCAGTTCTCAGCGCGGAAGTTGTCGCTTGCACTGGTTATGAGGGGTGCCCTACTTTTGGCCATTTGTTGCCTCAAACGCGGGGTGCGCATAAGAAGGGCAGCATGTGCCATAGCTGCGTAATGAACAAAGTCTCCTCTGAAGTCGTAATTAGTCAAAGGGATGCGCATAGATGGCTTAACTGTTGGACAGGAGAAACCCTCCACTTGAAGTGCGCTGACACCTCGCGGTGTGGAATTTCAAATTAGCCTCAGTCGACACATTACACAATTACAGTTACAGAGTTCCCAACGCGTCACTGAAAGATGCCATCGGCTTATTGTTTCTTTAATGATGCAGCACCTAAATGGAGATCATTCAGATAATTGTGGCTACTGCGTAATTGAGCTGAGTGTACAGCATGTGTGGCGGGGAAGTGAGTGCCGCTCGCGTATTTACTCGCCAAAGAGGGAAAAGATGAAGGGAAGGGAGGTAAGTTGAACCAAGTGGAAACTGGAACTAACCTGCACAAAATGAGGCACTGGATGTGAATGTGTGGGCATGAGTCAGAATGATTTACTGCCTTATTTGCTTGGATGTCGCAAGAAAGGCGCTTTTGCGGAACATTTTAATAAATGGGGTGAGCAGACGAGGCTGCTATAAAAATGCGAAGTTTCTGATTACACTTTTGTAGCTTACTTCCAGCGTGGATTGCTCGAATCTTGGTCGTTGAGCACCCATCTGCCGCCAAAACAGCTCACCCTGTGTTTAGATTTGTAAATGCGATCGAGGATAGATGCTATAGAACTTGGATTGCCTCGGTTTGGCATAGTAGTCATTACAGTCGATGGGTTTTGCGCTATTCTGTTAATTTATCCGGTGGTTGGGAAGCGAGAATGTGCTCTGGAGAGCCGAGCGTTTAAGAGTGCCCTAAATTTTTGTGCCAGGTAGGACATTGAAATGTTCTCTCTGGGAGAATGAAGCGATAACACTGCCCATGACTTCCAGTATTCCTTGCTGTTATTTACCTCTCAGCCACCCTCCATCCTCCTTCGTACAAATTACCGGTGACTTTGGTGCCGAGCAATGCTAATAATGTAGCCCCTCGAGGCAGCAAAAAGCCAAACATGCATGGAAAAGTTTGCAGCCCACGAACGCTCAACTGAGCCGAGAAACAACCGGCATGGCCCGAATTTCGCGTCTTAGAGTGGGGCGTAAGCACACCTTTCGCCACAGAGGTTGAAGTGCCCACTTGGTCAACTGCACAAACAAAGTATCGAACCACTCCAACATCGAGTGATACGACTTGAGATTTATTGAGTGCTTGCTGTTAAACTGTTGCACATAACGTAAGCGCAGCCCTTGATCAAGGTTAGGGCCTAATCGAATTTGCTTTTTGATGTGAAAAACACACTTAAACAATACTTCGCCCCGATGCCGTGTAAAATAGAGCCTCTGCACTTTTCTCATGAAAGCCAAAATTGACTAAGACTTTTCGTCCTCTGTGCTGCTCCCGATGTCATGAGGAGACATGTGGGGCAGCATGGCAATTCAATAGAAGTCAGACTGCGGGGCTGGGGTTATTTAACAGACGGGGAGAGCGTAGCGTGTTTGGCATGATTTACAGCCACAGCAATATTCTCGAGAATTGGTAATTCTTATTTTGCTAAAATTCTTAACCTGACACCCCTTCGCCTATTACCGATAGAGTAGGAATTTCTTCAGGTGGGTGGAAAAGTGCGAGAGATGATTGACTGGTTTAATGGATGATGATGCCACCTAAGCTGGTGGCATCTACCCATGCTGTCGGATCAGCAGCCGTCAGGTTTGCTCGTAAAGACGTCCTGTTGCAAACACTAGACGGCCACCAAGACTCACCTTGCCTGTAGCTGTAATGTTAAGGTCCCCTCTTATCCGCACGCTGTCAATACTTGACGCTTATACAACTGCTTTGCAACACCATCTGGCGCAACCACTTTTTATGAAGAAGGAACAAATGTGCCGCCGCCGTAAATTGTTGGAAGCAAGTGACGAAACATTTGTTGGGGAATGGAAGTGAAAGGAGGAAAGATGAAGTAGATGGTAGGAGACCATCAACGTCTGAACGCTGTGGTTGGGAAGTCGACGACCTTCAAGTCAATTTACGTGCTTATTTTGCTCAGCACATTTCTTTGCAAAAATCAAAGCAAGAGTTAATTGTCTTAGAGGTGGATGCATTGGACTTTAAGCTCGCTAACTGTCAGATCCTAATACACAGATTTTTGCTGCCCGCAAACAATAAAATATCTACCTCATTAAATGGAAATGACCGACAACTAATCAACCACTTGCTGTTCTTGGGGACGAATTTTCCCTGCATGGTATTTTTAAAGCATTACTTCCTTTTGTTAATGCCCATGTCTGTCATTTCGAATGTTATACATAGTAATGTTCTTTATATAATTTGTCGTCACTTTAGAGAGAAAAACAATTTACGTTGCAAGTTCATTTAGCAGGAACACGGAGTAACGTTATGCACCGTGCTTATATACTACAACCTCGAGTAATAAACAGGATTAATTCGAGTCATTAGAGATTTTCTTAAGTGAGGGTAAAATATAAATCCCAATTCTAAGCTACATACAGTTCAACTTCTTTCAAGACCCATGCCCTCACACACTGCTTATTTCTTTCTGGCACACACACGCACACATCATTGAAGTACCAACGTGCTGCGAAGTAGCCCCATATGAGTCACAATCACCTTCCTACTTCTGCCTGCTGGTAAGCGAAATGCCAGTGTCGGCCAATCGGAAGCCGCACGGTGGAGGCGAGAAAGCATTTAAACACTTCAAATCTCACAACTCCAATCCGACATCATGAGGAGCTCAACACTCATTGTCTTCGGCCTACTTCTTGTTCTCCTTATTGTCTCAGACCTAGGGTCGGCAGCTAATGTGAAGTATAAGTACCACTACGCCGCGAAAGGAGGCAAGTACTCCTACAAGTGGCACAAGAAGAACGGCAAAACCCAGTATCATGCTCAGGGTGTCGCCGGAGGTGTTGCCGGTCATGGATCGGGAGTGCGTAAAGTCGATCGCAGCGCCAAAGCACCCAAGGCGTAGTAAGGTCCTTCTCTCAGCAGTTGTAATTTCCGACCGCAAACAAGTACTAAATAAAAGAGTCCTCCAACCTAATACAGATCGCGTTGTTTCAATTCAGCTGTCAGTGCGATGCTGCATGGGTGGGATGAAAGGGAGGGAGAATGCGAGTAAATGTTCATCGGCTGACATTCCTTGATGGTCCTCCGTCGAGCGACTTTACAATCAGGGCTGTAAAAGTAAAGCACATCCCGTGCGCCACCTAAACGCACACACCCCCAGAAGGAGAGTTGGTGTGTGTGTGGAGACATGCTGTTGATTCGCAGTTGCACTGTGACGACATCGTGAGGCTGCTAACTGACAAGATTTTTACTCAGTCATTTAAATTGGGGAAGATTTTTTTGAGCTGATATTTGAAGCTGAGAAAAGGGTGGGCGATAATTGTTACTGTGCTTTGTTTGTTTTATGTAAATCTCGAAAATGCCTGACATCAACATCTTTAGTAGACATATAATTGCTTTCGTAGTAAATCAGTAAACATTTGTATGTGTAGCTGCCGCTTTTGGACGGCATTTAATCCCTAATTTGTTTTATTGCAAATATGGGTTATGGAGGCTCAGAATTTTACAGCAGATATTGTAAGTAAATCGCATGTTAAGTATTTTTTTGTTCCTTGATATATTACCGGATGTTTCAAAAAAGCAATGTTTTACAAATGATGTATCTATGGCGCTTAATCTGATACTTTATTTTAACTTCAATTATTAGAATGCTGCGAAAAGACAGGATCATCGTAATCCTGCAGCCTGTATACGAGCAATGCCATACATTAGTCTCTACTACTTACTATACAACTGTCTAGATAACCATGATAAAGACTACCCGGTAGGCATTCAGCACCTTCTCCTCGCTCCATTGCATAGATTGTAGAAGTTCTTTTACTGTCGCCTTTGCCATACCTTTTTTAATACCGCCTTCATTTCATTTTCTTGTGTGGAGCACTTTGCACATGATTAACTGTAAAAATTCCAGTATAAATGGAAGTGTTGGTATCATTTTTTGTCGTCTGAGTTACAACATGACGGTTGCCATTTGCGTGCATTGAGAGAATCTGAGTGTTAAGTAAATGCTTTCATGCCCTCATGTAACAAATGCAGCTGTGTTAGTGTGTACCATCATCGGCAAGATGTCAAGTCTTTACTGTTGCTATCGGCGTCAGAAAACTAGACATAAGATTTGGCAGCCATAGACATGCTTTAAAACGTTTGACCGTCGAAGGGAATGTAGAGAGAAGTTGCAGATCTAGAGGTTTTCTCGTATTTAAACACTTGAGTTAATTAAAAATGAAGCCAGTGTTGTTAAGAGTTTTGTTTCTTCGAGAAAATAAGTGTATCGTAGCGAGACGTCTCAGATAATAAAGTTTGTATTGGAACTGAAAGTAGTCGTCAGCACTATTCTGTCACCAAGCTGTTCGAGGTATCGACGTTACCTTAATAATTAATCTGAGCTACAAATAGGATGGTGTCATCTTTGTTGACATATGGAACCATTTTAATGCATAAAATAAGCATGTGATTTAGCAGCATTGGCAAGATTGATGTAGTTACTCTTAATTGCCATCAAAAAAGAAAACAATAAAAGGAGTTTATGAAACTGGTTTATTTTGATATGCAATTTGCAAAAAATATGCGCACAATTCAATAATATGGCTGTACACGCACATGAACCCTACAGATTCCAGATTACTTTGAACAAATGGAGCATAGTTGGCTAAATTTCTACCCCTCCTGATCCGATGTGCACTGCTTACTTTCAACACAATATTATTTAAACCGCTCGATGACTTACGCCAAATTATCTGAGCATGGCATAAACAAGGGGTCTTTTGCGCTATTGCCAATCCACCAATTGGCATAAGATGCTAAGCTCAAGTCATAGCGTCTTAAGACTTTCTATTAAGGTAGAAGAAGGCATTAGGAAAGAGTAAAAGCATTTATTCAAGGAAAAAGGGGAAGAGCTTGGGCTTTAGCTTGGTCCGAAGGCCATTCCATGAGCACAAGAGCAAGACATACTAAAGAGATCGCCAGTTATGCATGTGGTCACATAACGAAAGTATTACAATAATAAAGCCGTTTCGGCAGTCGTGAGTGTTAACTCACCACATGTGCGTATCTATTGGCAATGGCTATAAAGTCCCGAGATTCCTCATTTGCTAACAGGAGACGCGAACAAGAGCAAGGAAAATACGAAAACATCCACCGGCCACACAGGTACCTGCACAAAGTGGTACAGACTTTCATTTACATGTAGAGGATGGACAAAATAATCAATTGCACGAATAAGAATGATTTTAATGCCTTTTTGGCAGCTGTTGCAGTATCATCTTCAATGCTTCTTACTGAGGTCAACATTTTTTATAAAACCTTTATTTTCCGCAGTTTAGCTGCTTTTACTGTGTTCTGTTTCGCCTTCTACTAATATATTTATTTAACTTTCTGTAATTCTAATCATTAAAGCAAAGTTTGAGGAAAAAGAAGGGGAAGAGAGTAGATGATTTCACTTTTGCTGTATGCCCCGCATCCATAATTTGTCATTGAATTTTAGCCACTCCTACTGTCTTATACCTTCTACCTAAATAACATCTTATATTGCAGCTTATGAGACAAGGAAGATGATGAAAATAAACGCATCAAAAGTTACGTAGCAAAAAGTCGTCATAATGCTCCCTCTTAGTATGCATCTTCTTAATCTCTGTCTTCATTGAGCTGCAAATTTGATCTCGTGCAGCAAATCAGAAGATCATTTATTTTAGCGATTACTTTATGCTTGAATAAACCTCCCGCATTACCATTCAATTTAAATTCTGTAAAAATTTTCTGTTATAGATGGTCGCAAGCGAGTATGAGAGCATCGCCATAAATATGGACTTTGATTAAGTTCATATTGCGCATAGTTATGCTTCCTCAATATGAGTGTTCTCATCTGTTCTGCTGGGCAAAGCCATTGCAAGACTCGAATCGAGACGGAGTTGTTACCAAGCTTGAAACATATGCACAAGGTGGGGCCAGTATCGTGCGAAAACGCTTCTAGGACAAGAAAGAAATTGGGATACAGTATGGAGCACCATACTGTATCGAAAATCTAGCTTAAATACTTCCACGATCTCACGGTAAGGCTATCTATCCCATTTTAATCTAAAGGCTTTTAGGTATCTGCGGCGTTGCCAACCCTTGGAATCCTCCCTTTCTTTCGTTGGAAGGGCCTAACGAGGTTGAGACGAACTGTCAAATGTCTCTTGCCCAAAAGTCTAACTAACCAGACATTTTACAGTCAAATGAAAACTATCAAAAGGAGGTGCGTTCTCTTCTCAAAGTGGATGTAATTCTTTCCCTAAAACTTCGAGCCGAATTGCACATTGGTTGTTTAAATTAGTCTTTGTAAAAGAGACGGGAAGTCAATGCGAACTCGGTGCTTGTGGAGTGCGGTGATAGCTCTCCAGACCAGTGCAAACACTATTTCAACCGTATCAAGTTTCCCGTTAAGCCTGCACCTTTTGGCGATGCCAAACAAATCTTCTTTGAGCATCTCTCCACTTATGAAGACTGAGCCAAATGATCTGGAGAGCAGAGCGGGAGTGATTACGCCCGCTGTCTCACGCCTTACCCACTGTGCCTGATTTAGCAAATTTTTTTACTTGACGAGGCACCACATTTTATCACTCGCTTTTGACTTTATTATAGCATTTGCTTTGGGATGCCGTGTGGTGAAACTCTCGTTATCCTGCTGAGATAAACTACCAAGGCTTGTAATGATAAACAGAAACTTGGTAAATAACGAATGTTACATCCGCTCCATTCAAGCCCACTCCAGCTTGAATATGTAAGCAATTAAAAACAACCGTGTAGGTTGCATGGTTGTCCGACCAATACGGTAGGGATATCGGCGAGAATTAAAAAAATTTACGACTTGATTTGTCTTAGGACACTTTTGCAACCAAACTTGTTAACTCCTTATCTTAAAAGCTGTTAAAAGTGGCTCCCAAATAATCTTATTTATTCGAAAAGGAATCGAATTTTAGGTACGATGTCTGGTATTGAAAGCGAAACATCCCCTCGTCATTAAACCGTCGAATTACATGTAGCGTTTAAATGTCATTTTCAAATTTCAAAACCTCCACCCCTATAGATTAGATTAAAACGTAAGGATGTAAAATGCCAAAATCTAGTCGCGGGTTTGTAGGACTTTAAGGGTTGTTCACAGTAAAACTATTCGATTTATTTGTCTCGTTTGTTCATGTCTGTAAAATATGAAGACGCATTTGTCCTTGATAAACTGAAATTCGATAACTTTTTTACATTGCCTGTTGTTCAAATGTTTTATCAAGTCTGGGCTGACAAACAGTAGTATCGACGACTTTAACGTAAAGGATCCATTTAGAGAATGAACGATCAACTAAATCACCGTTTATACATAAGCTAAGAATATGAGCCAACGCCTATGCATTCATACCTCGGTTTTAATGACAAGTCAGAGCTGGTGAGTTGAAGTGTCAAATCTGCTTCGACTTGCCTGGCATCAGTATATGCTACTCACTAATGAAAGTTCATTTTGGCAGAGCAGTAAATCTAGCTGTTTACAAGGAGGAGAAATAATGAGTGCAGTTTGTGTGGTCTAATGCCAAACATCCCAAGAGAAATTGGTTAGGCCAAATCTAACATCAAGCCTTTTACAAATCCCGTACTGCACATCCAACACTAAATCACTACAGCATTAGAAATAATTTAAGTTCGGGTTTGAAATCCACAGATTTAGCTCGACTTTGGTTTGGTAACCATATTTTATGCAAAATGGCATAATCGTGTGAGGAAAGGACCGAAATGCAGGGTCCTATGCCTTGCCTTGCCGTATCGTAACGTATTTAACTATGGATTCACACCCATTTAATGCCTTCGTCTCTATAAGACCATTAGAGAAAGCTTCGAGTCATGTTTTTTACTGTACCACCGTTTTGATGAACTTGTGGA